TGCTGAGATAAGCAAGACTTAGATGAGTGCTAAATGTTTAAATGCCCCATGTTTAAATATGGCCAAGCTCCTTTTCTGAAGCAAATTATCTTAAGTTTCCTTCTGAAACTTTCAAATTACCCTTTGAAATACAGTTAAATAACCGTGTAGATCAATAGCTACACTTAGTCATTTAAACATTTGAATGATCATCATCATGCCACCCCTAAGCAGACTGTCATAAGAAGTGCTAAATGTTTAAATGCCCCATGTTTAAATATGGCCAAGCTCCTTTTCTGAAGCAAATTATCTTAAGTTTCCTTCTGAAACTTTCAAATTACCCTTTGAAATACAGTTAAATAACCGTGTAGATCAATAGCTACACTTAGTCATTTAAACATTTGAATGATCATCATCATGCCACCCCTAAGCAGACTGTCATAAGAATGCAATGTCCATTGAGTCCAGATATCGTTAGCCATGATAAATACTGCCATTTAACTGTGATTGCTTTGGACCTCTCAATAAACTGCCTAAAACGGAGGAATCCATTTTTATTATGGCCAAGCCAGTGCTAGATATGGCAAACCAATTTCTCCTAATTATATGCATGTGTTTTTATAATTATATTTTACGATAGCATTCAGATATCATCTGAATTTTTTTTTAACGGGTTTTCACATGCTATGTTTTGTAAATCACTGAATGCTTTTTATGAAAAGCTAAGGCTACAAGTGAGAGGGTGAAGTTCCAAAGGTTATAGATTGATACTTAATCCAAGAAAGAACAGTAAGTACTGAAATGGGCCCCCATTCCCTTGTAAAAAGAATTTCAGCTTTAGAAGGTTCCATTGCATGACAGACATATCAGTTTAGGAAATATGGGCTGGATTCTGCTTCACTGGATATAAGATATTTGATAATGCAAAGATAATTTAAGTTTTCTAGTTTCACTGAGGCCAGCTTCTCTTACTGGCCCAGCAGCAGTTTCTGAATCGTATGAAGGGATACGAACTGGACAGAATGAAAGACAGCAGTGCTTTTTTTTAAAAAAAAAAAAAAAACACGTGTACATAAATTTTTTTAATGGGCTTTGTACAAGATGTCAGCTTCAGAAAGTGAACCTCAACTTTTCTATTACAGCTGGCATGCAATTTTCTCAGACAGCTAGGAGAGGAGAATTTCATCTCTCAATGAAGTCATCTCCATTTTATGGGAAGAGTAGGGTAAACGGGTATGAAACTGTTCATTCAGCTTCTCTGATACAAGGAAAAGCTCTCTATTCAACTTCTTTTTCCTTCCTTATCAAGGAAAACCTTGACTAATTTTTGTAGTAGTGGTGATATCTGGCAATCCACTGAAGCAGAACTCAACCCAAACTTCTGCATCTGTACACTGGAAGTAACAGCAACAGTTTTGGCCAAAGCCAAAACCGGATGCTTTGAATTGATGCTGTATAAATGTAATGATGACGAAACAAAACAAAAACGAACCTGTCACAAATGCAACTGTGAGCACTTTGATTTCCGAAGGGTTAATAAAATAAATATTTTATAAATGTACGCTTTCATTTCAGATCTCATAATCTGGTAAGAAATTATGTGATCTCAGCAGATACCTTCTGCTGTACAGTTCAGGTCACAAGCCATCTGAAAGATGTAAAATACTTCACTAGCAAGCTTGTCTCCTGGCTCAGCCAAAAAGAAAGAAAGCATGGAAAGCAAGCACAGAACACAAAGGAAAGCTGTCAATCAAATTAATTCATGCGATTAGAAACAGTAAAAGAGGGCAGTAAAGTGACCACCTGTAAGAGTAGCCGATAACTTCACAACATGATCACATATCAAACTTTCCAAAACACTTTTACTAAGAAAACAGTAAAAAATAGAATGATATATTTAACAGTGCATGGACAAATTCTGCTCTTAAAGTATATGTATCTCTAAAAATAGCAGGAAAAGATCATCTATTTTGTGCGTACAATCTTATAATAAAAATTCTATAAATGGCCAAACTGTGCTGCACGTTTAGAAGGAGCAAATCAAACTAGTACTATAATCAGAATTCTATTCAGAGGCACACTGTTCAGAGTGCACAGCAGATGAAGCAAACTAAAAAGAACAATAGAAAACTACATTCCCAATCTAATTAAAAAATGTTGGTAATTAAAGACTCCAGGAAATGCCATTGCTGTACTCTGTGAAAACTCTCAAGACATCTGAGGCCTCTTCTATCTACCCTCTCTCTTGCCCATGAACCACTCTCCTTTGTCTGACAACATCCATTTCTTAACCTTTCCTTTAATTGAATATTTTTGGTCTACAGATGTTTGTTGTTGACTGGATGACCCCGTTTCAATTGGAGCACATGGAACCTTCTCCTGTCTTCTGCTCACTTAAGTTATTTTTATATTTTCTGTTTTTCTACTCCTTTGTGTTTGTGTGTGTATGTTTGGGAGAAAAGTAAAAGAGCAGCCTCAGTTCCAAAATACCCCTAATACAGATAGCTTTGCCCCGTGATAATGCAAGGGGCATTTTGAACTCTTCACTCCGTCTATACAGTTGTAACAGATCTCTAACGCCTTGATTTGTCTAAAAGCAAACACTTTTTATTCAACTATGATCTATTTGGACAGGAACTTTTTTTTTTCTCCCAGAATACATTAGAAAGACCTATTATACAAACTTATGCAAATATTTAATACATTAGAAATTATTATCAAGATCATTTATGCATGAAGCATGCATTTAGGGAAGAAGTGTGACTGTTCTCAAGTGCTTGAAAGTTTTCTCAGAATACCCTCAAGTATTTAGCATTTATATATATATAGATATATATATGCCATATGTATCAGTTTTATAAACACTGTTAACTTGCTGTTCTTAGCACCCCTTAGGAAATACATACCTTCAAAAGAAACATTAATAATAATACATTTTTAAAGAAATAATTCAAAAAATGTAATCCCCAAAAACTTAACCCCATAATCACGGCTAAAATTTTCAGCAGTAACCAAGGTGAAAAGGATCCGTCTCTCTCTTGTGAATCTGGTGGAAAAATCCCAGTCTGACAGGGCTATCTTAAGACCAGAAACAGTTCACTACAAGACACCTCTCCTGAAACAAGGCTGTGCTATTCTTGATTCCTGAAGCACATAACACAGGACAGAACTTGTTTTTAGTATATACAATAAACACTGTGTATTCCTGGTGGTCACAGGTCTAGTGACTAAGTCTAAAATTGAAAAGTACTATTCATTTTGTCACCACAGCACCAACATACAGTCACATTACTGATGAGAATTCCCCTTTCAATGGTTGAGGCTAAGGTATGACACAGGAGTAAGAATATGTACAGGAAGAAGGTTGATGGGGTTAGGAACATTGCAAGCTTTCATTTTAGTACTGAATGAAGGGAGAGCAAACTGAGAAGCAGCCCAGAGAACAGGAAATCAATGTGAGCAGTATCATCTATCTTTGCATGTACTATCTTGATTTGCAGAAAACTGGCATTTTTTTTTCTTTCCCTGTCCTACAATCTGAGATTGATTTGACTCGTTTTAATTTCACTGACACCATATTCATAAGTCATTTCCAAAGCTGCAACATAGCAGATCTTTTGCAATGTAATTTTAATATTTGATATATAGTAGCATTGATAAAAATTTAAAAGTAATTTTGACTTATAATGAAATAAGGAAAAAAAATATGTATCCACAGCTAAAGAATGCCAAAACATTGCTGCCATCAGCCCTCCAGTATCTCAGACTCCATGCATTTGCTTCTAATAATAAAAGCCCTTAAGGCATTCTTACCCGTTATGTCAAACCAAAGTGGTGTTCCAAGAGGTTCAACAGCTATTACACCAATCATGTGAGCAACCGGGTCACTTTCCATCACCGTAAAAGAAAAAAATGCTTCCTCAAAATAAATGGGCTCTGTGGGTGGGACAGGCTTTGGAATCCATTCTATGTGAAGCCGTGTAGTTGATGATTTTTGTGGACGACCATTATCTACAGCTTTAATCTGTGAAACAGACACATCTTTTAGGCTACAGGATCACATAAATCATTATGTCACATAAATGGAAAAGCAGTAATAAGCTCCAAGCATGTTAGCGTGTGTGAGAGATATCCAAAAAGGTTAAGTGTCTCTCAGTGCCACTTGCCCTTCATTATCTGGGCAGCAAATGGAGAAAAAGCACGCAGCACCTGATAGCAGCACAAACTGCTACCATAAATTCACTTTTATTTTGCTTTCTTCCTGAAAAAGAGTAAAACTGATTGTTTATGTTCCCTCATCATGTTCATTATCTGTCAAGTTCTGGAAAATAACAGCAGCTTCTTGATTCACTATCGCAATTCAAACATCTGAAATCATCCATTAAAAAAATACCAAACCAAACAAACCCACGAAACAATACTTCTGGATTTGTTGAAGCTTTCTTCCTTCAGATACTGCAGTCATTCATCTGCCAGCTACTGAATAAGAAGTGATGAGAATACAGATAAAAGAACACTTCACGTATTCGTGACAGATAAGATTTTAACTCACTGAAAGGATATCATAGTCCCTCGCAGCAGAAAATTTCTTTGACGAAACCACTCCAGTTTTTGGTTCGATAAAGAATTTGCCATGTTCATCGCCATCTTCAATGCTGTAAGAGATCTCTGCATTGGGGCCTTCATCTCTATCTGCAGCAATAACTCGATAGATCGGCTCTCTCCTAGCAGTTCTCTCTCGTTCTGGCTTACCACGCTCTGGAAGCCGGATTTTGTAGAACTTTTGCAAGAACTGAGGCTTGTTGTCATTCTCATCTAAAACCTTCACAATCACACGTGCAATTGTTGATTTTGCAGGAGTACCGTTGTCTGTTACCGTGACCTGTTTTTAATAAAAAGGATATGGTTAGTGCTCAATGCAAACACAATCTTTCCAACAAAGGTCTTTCCAAATCAGATTTTACAACTGCAAAGTAACTCCTTAACTTCAGTTGCTCAAAGAACATTGGGTAAAGCTATTTGGCCCCACAAAGGTTTATTCAGCTACTATCTTAATGTTTTGACGCTTGATGTATGGCATGTAGGAGTCAACAGATCTATATTAAATCTATTCCACTTTTTTTCAGCACTGTAAGTGAAATATTAACTTGACTACAAGAACAGCACACAAGTATATTATGTGCGATAATAGCTTCACTGTAATATCTTAATATACATCCAGCCTAGTGTTCCCTTGCAAATTTTCAATTTAATAATTTAATTTTACACCTCAAAGGATGCAATTCGTAAGAATATAGCTTCCAGAATTTGACAGTCCTATCGCTAAAAATTCCCTATATTTTAAGACATAAAATCACTATCTCATTTTCAAGCAGTTTACATTACAGGGAAGATGAGTGCTGTTAACTCCCTGTTAACCTGAACATAAAACCCCAGCACAGAAAATTCCTGTTCGAATAAGTCTACCCCAGTTTGAGGAGAACAAGTGTTTTTCCTTCAGGAATTTGGATAGCAAATTCTTTCCCCATTTCTTAGGATGCCCCAGTAAATCTGACTATGGAAAAACACAAGGATACAAGGATAACGTGGATACAAAATAATGGAAAGAATACTAATGGAAGACTAGAATGAGTTACTGATGAAAAAAAAATTACATTGACATGAATGAGGACAAGACTCACATCTACATAAGATCAGATATTCAGCTCCCCTCCCCCCTCATCTATTTTAGGAAAAAAAATGGAAACACAAATGAAACATGGTATAACTTGCAAGTATGAAGGAAATGAAAAAGCACAAGTGTTTAACCATGAAAAAACACATGAAATACAAATATTCACGCTTGTCTGTAACAAGTGATTTGTAACAAGATTTCCACATATACAAGTATTTGTCCCCTTCTGCACCTGTAATGGAACATCACTGCCTATCTTCTGGTAAGCAAAAAAAGCCCAAAAAACCACAACATGCTCCAAAAGATGAAATTCCATGGGGTATGAAGTAACACGCCTGTTAACATAAAATTAGCATTGCCCTGAGCCAAGTGGAAAAGAAAAAAAAAAGAGGCAAATATGAGGAAAATCTAGTTTGACTTGAATGCAACATCCATTTCGGAGGCATTTCTGATATAACAAACAGATTACTAAGATACGGAAGAATAACATGAAGCTAACCTAAAATAACTGCATGAAAAAAGCGCCAATTGGCACGCAGAAAATAGTTACAAGCTGGGAATAAAAGAATGGGACATATTAATTACCATTATGTAAGCTGGAGAGCAATCAAGGATCAAATTTAATAGCAAACAAGGAATAAACCCACCAACCCATCTGGTCAACATTTCAATGCTCAATTAATTAGCCAGATGCTCAGCACTTGGCTCATAATATTGCCCACCATTCTGTGCATTTCTGGGTTTCTTTCCAACCTGTTTTCAAAGGTGTCAACATAAAACTAACAAATGGGAAAACAGCAAATTTGGGCCATGCTGCCTGTCATTATCGCTCTGTAGTTGAGTTCTTCTGTTGGAGACTTTGCAGTCTTTTATTTAAAACTTTAACAACCAGCTGGGATTCAAAATGAAGGAAGAATGAAGAATTATAAATGATACTAGCAGGCGATATTCCAAACTAAAGAGCAATAAGGTTAATCTGCAATCTTGATACAGAATGTTGAAACTAGAAGGATTTATGTAGCATTGCATGATACTTTAATCTTCAAAAAAAACACCCTGTGTGCGTTCTGGACATGTCATCTTGTAATGATTTAGGTTAAACTAGCGGAATTGACTGCTAACACTCAAGTACCCGTAACACTATACTACAAGTGTGATCTCTGGCATAAGTTTTAGCCCAGAACAAGTAGCACCTTCCCACAAATTGCCTAGCTGCAGCCTGAGAATTCACACAATCAGGGCACCATTCTCAACAGACAGCTTGGACATGGCCACCTTGTTCCAGGGATAAGGTATAAGCAATCAAAGCCATACTCTGCCAAGTGGCTTCAGGGTCTGAGAATGATCCACAGCTCATTTTATTTACTGTATAAATGTAATACAAAAGCCAGCACAATATGCATAGGAGTAAAAGTGATGACATACCAATTTTTCAACCAACATACATAGCAGTAGTCAAACAGTAAGAGATAACTGACATGAAATGCTTTAGGAAGCAGATTTAAGGAGGTAAAGAGAGAATAACATAGTGACTTTAAAATTTACAGCAGTAACGCGTCTAGTACTGAACAAAGTTTCCCAATTAACTAACTTTGCTATTACTACTAGCAGAAACACACTGCAGAGGAAATGCCACCCTATTACTACTTATGTGCAAAGAGTTCCTTCCAAAGCTGACACAGAAATGAAAATAACAATAAAAATTTGGTCCAACAGCTGCATTAATCCAGCTTGCAATGCACCACAGGGATAGAACAGGGCCAAGCAGACTGTATGTACACTGGAGTTCTACAAAATAGTTTGTGCTATCACGGAATACATTCACCTCCAAGTCTATGTAGTCCTTGCTTTTTTATCAAAAAACCTTTCTACAGGTTTCACGAGGAAGTCCAGACTTGTCTCTCTAGCTTTAATGTTAGTTTTGCTGACTCACATTGCAGTCGTTTATCACCCAGGAGGAGAAGCACAATACAGGTTCCAGATAAACCTGAGTATGTAAGCATCACTGTGAATATTAAACCTTCATTGCAGGTGAAGAACAATGCTGTCACACTGCATGACAACACTGTGAAACCGGAAGATTAGGAGTTCTCTATGTTTTTTCTTATGTGTTCTTTGACAGAGAATGAGAATAGCTCTTACGTAAGTTCCAACCAATCAATTAAATGTAGCTAAATAAAAGAATTACTTTATGAATTCCATGCTCCTGGACTCCAAATCTATAATGTACATTTTGCAACTCATCTACTTATGTGATCGATACAGGTTACACAGAAAAAAGCTCTACGCGTTTACAATTTCTATTCTCAGTGTTAAAAATAGGTTTCTGCTTTTCTTTTTCAGAGTTCTATATTCAGCAAAAGGCAGGCTGAAATAGCTATTCCAATAATTACACAGGAAGGAAAAAAAAAAAAAAGAAAAAAGAATCACACTTCTGCTCTTAACAATCGTGCCTTTCTCCTGTGTGAAAATCTTGGTTTACCGATACAAACAAAAAATTGCCTTCTATCTGTATCTTAACTCTTAAGAAAAAATCCCAACACACTGTTTTTATAAGATATGTAGTTTTGTGCATTGCAATATAATAAACTGAAGCAAATTACTTTTGAAATCCAGTTCTCTAAATATATAGTAATCAATTCTGGTAAGCTTAACTCTCTGTAAAAGCAATGAATTTACAGTCACTGTTTTTTAGACAACTAAAGAAATCAGTTACCTCCAGTATGTGCTCTCCCTGCTGCTCTCGATCTAGTTTTCTAGCTGTTGTTGTAATTAGACCTGTAAACACAAAAGAATAATTCATCAGATCTTTCAAGAAAAAAATCTGAATGGTTAGGTTAAACCAGTAGTTACAGATAGACCCAATCTCAATTTCTTCTGAGGTGGTCACCTCTATTTTTTACAGAACTCACACTCCTGTTAAAGGAAAGGGTGAGGGGTTTCCAGTCCTTAAGGGGTGTGAAAATATTCTTTTCAATCTGAAAGCTAAACTGTTGTAGCCCATAAGACAGATGCAATTCAATCTGCCAACACATCTGTGCATGTCATGCTTCTGACAGGAGTAAGGTATGTAATTCTCTCACATGAAGTCTTGCTTTCAGAGGGTGTTCATACGCCTCATCCAAAGAGTGCTCACACACGTTATTTGAGTAATTACCAATCTCTTCAGGACAAACATCAATTTGTACTTTTACTGATAACAACAGAAAAAGGATGACCTGAAGAGATGCATTAATGGTGGAATCCAGAGCAATTTGTGCATGTTCCCTTGACTCCTTGTCATTGCCATATCAAACATTTACTGTTGACAATAACAGAGAATAAACACAAGTGTTTGATGCATGATTTTCGACTTTGTTGCAACAGTGTGAGACACCTTTGATGCAAGATTAGGAAGGCATGATGATTTTTGCTTTAAATGAAGAAGTCAAAGAGTAAGAACCAACAAAAAGACAGCAAAATCTAAATACAAAAGGATCTTATTTGAATAAACTCTCCTAACAGTAGGTTTAAAAACCTCCAAGTCCAGAGGAGGGCCACAAAGATGCTCTGAGGGCTGAGGCACCTCTCCTATGATGAAATGCTGAAAGAGTTGGGCTTGTTCAGCTTGGAGGAGGCTCCAGGGAGACCTTATTGCAGCCTTCCAGCACCTGAAGGGGCTACAAGGAAGCTGGGGGGGACTTTTTACAAAGGCCTGTAGTGACAGGACAAGGGGTAACGGGTTTAAATTGAAAGTGGGGAAGTTTAGATTAGGTATCAGGAAGAAATTCTTCACAGAGAGGGTGGTGAGGCACTGGGACAGGTTGCCCAGAGAAGCTGTGGATACCCCATCCCTGGAAGTGTTCAAGGCCAGGCTGGATGAGGCTTTGAGCAACCTGGTCTAGTGGAAGGTGTCCCTGCCCATGGCAGGGGGGTTGGAACTGGATGGTCTTTAAAGTCCCTTCCAACCCAAACCATTCTGTGATTCTATAAGATTTTAACTACTGAGTTTCATGATAAGTAAACTTGGTCAACTCTCAACTACAGTTGAATGGCTTGCCATGCTGTGGCTGAACTATGCCATGGATGCACACAAAAGCTGCACGAAAGCCATTAACCTGTTTGCAGGTGCAAGCTGGCCCTACAAACACCATCACTGTGTTCCCATGGCACTGAGCCTGTGCTAGTAAATCCTGCTAGACCCAGCTTGGCTTTTCATGGAGCAAAACACGAAGATTTGGATTCGCTCAACCCAAGCCACTACTGGCCAAAGCATCTCATATTTTCTGTAGCAGGAATCCAGTATATGCTAGATTCAGAAGATGCTGCAATGTCATGCAACCTTTTATCCAACCATCCCAGCTTTTTACAGTGACAAGAAAGCACTGCCATCTTCATGTTTAATTATCAAATTGAAAAACAGGGAAACAATTACTCAATTAGGGACAAAATAGAGATGAAAAAACAGGCAGCATACTTCATGTTCCTCTTTCTTAACGGTAGTAGAAGCTTTTAATTAATAAGACCTCTGATCAGCAAAATTAAAATCCATTTGTAGAGTTTTCAAAGTTGATCTGCTACAATAAAAAAGCCTTCCACTTTGTCTCACAGCTCATAAAAAAAAAGTGTGTAAGAACAGCAATAAAGATTTCAATTTCACTTAAAAGAGAAAGGCCAACAGAAACGGAATTCTATACCAACAGTACTCAATGCTCCTGTCAAAATATAGTTGTGGTCTAAATACACTAACAAAATAGATATCCTGTACTAAATAGGAACAAAGCCTATATAAGACAATTTTACAGCTGTCAAATATTCAAACAACTGTTCTTGAAAAAACAGATAGTGCAAATAATGGCTGTTTCAATTACGGTCAAATCTGCCCTTGTTTTTCCAGCAATTGGTTGTGCCGTTGTATCAAATTCATTATACAACCAGTATTCTAGACAGAACAATATCATCTTCTCCTACTTTATCTTTCTATGCTTTTACAACACATAGAAGATATGTATGTTATCATTACAATACATCTTTTGGCATTATGAAGTAATTGCCCTTAATTACAAAGAAAGTGGGAATGAAAATTAAAAAAAAAAAAGCACAAGGAAAAGATGTTGTATTGGTGCTGTGAATTTAGGAAGCAGGGCAGGGAAGAGAAGTAAAAAGGATGTGACAACTCTGTATTAACCTCCTGGAGGTACTATCTTCCCATAGAGATTACAGAGCTGTAAACAATGACAACTGAAAATATTCATTGTCACATATTCTAAACAAAGCTTTCTCCTAATTTCCTGGCTGAGGCTGGTCAAGCCTCACCTTTTCTTTTCACAGGCTCTATGGGGAACAGCTCAGAACTGTTAACTGGAAGTGAACAAATGGCACAGCAGATGCTCATCTGCTTCCCTTGAGCAAAGGGACTTGTAGGTGACTTCAAGAAACACAAGCTCTCCTAAACACCTCTTTCTCTCGAGTACCTCTGGAGAAAGGCAGCACAAGCCCCCACATGAAGAATTCACTCCCCAAGACTCATTCCAGTTGCAAGCGAACAGGGTGAGTTTCAGCACAGCCACCAAAGGTGCTTGCTGTTGAATAGCTGGGTTGAGAATGGGGAGAATCACAAAAAGCACAGGAAGAATAAAGTCATTCCAGCAGAAATACCTCATTATGCTTGCATTCCTCTGAATACTCAATATTCAGTCTACACCCTCTGACAATATTAGATTCCATCTCCCACAGCAGCAGCAAGTAGAGAACTGCTAACACATGAGAGCAGAAAGATGGCACCTTTCAACAGTTTCCTATCCACTTTTTCCTCCATCAAGAGCCATTAGGACTGGAGCCACCATTAATAAATGCCAGCTAATAATCTGTAGAAAAAACACAACTGAATGCTTTTGCTGCAAACACTCCAGACAGAATTCTACCATGTACCGCTACTCTACATACTACATTTTGTTAAAGAAAGTCTAATCCCAGATATAATTTCTGTTAATGAAGCTGGTCAATACAACTCAAACACGTAAGCAGAAAAATACCCAGCACGAGCAAAGTATTTATGCTATTTATGATCTGTTAAAACTTCCAGTCTTTTCAACCAAGCATGCCACGCTTCTGTTAAACACTTCAGACCAATAACAGAAGGGTTTAGTCTTCACCATATATATCCTGTATATTCAGCAGAAACTAATGCCAACAAAGGAAATGTAACACTTCTGGATTTAGAATCACATACACATGCATGACATTCTTTTTATTTAACTCTTTACTGCCAGCCACATTGCTAAGTGAAAATATAGCTCCAGTGAAGTGTTTCACTACAGCTTAAGGCTGTAGTGACCTAATTAAGTTTTGATTATGGCAATCACCAAGTTTTTTTCTTTTTTTTTCCAGGTTTTTCTATATTATAACATGATTAATGCAAAATTAATCGGTTGTTGAAGAGCTTTTCTGATCAAGGCCATGATAATAAGGTTGAGCGTTCCTATGCAGTGTGGCTTGTGTGAGAGCCCATTAAGATTCGCTTGGGAGGATCTTTGGACCTAATACAATCAGCTCCCTGCAGCGAGAGCCACCTCTATGCTCTTTCTACTGAAAACAGAAGTTCTCAAACTTTTTAGATTGAGCTCCCTCTCTTTGCTGTTACAGTTTGGAGATCTCCTTGCTGTGCCCCTCTGTACACAAATAAATGAATAACCGCAGCTTTGCACACACACCACGTCCCCACAGAAGCGACAAATAAAAGATGATTTCATTTAATCTCTGAAGAAATCTGTAACATAATCAGTTTTGAAATCCTTATTATAGGGTGGGGAGAATCTGTTCACTGCTGAGGGAGAGAAATGACAGCATGTGCGAGAAATGGATCACTGTGACAGTGCATTCATTTTCGAAGCGAAACTGACTCACAGAGCATCGTTTTGCAATCATATTTTCCTGATTTCCTTTTGCCTCCTATCATCATTACCCCTCCCAACAATAGGAACAATGAGCTACAGTAATTCACATCCCTGACTATTATTCCGCTAGAAATCAATGCACACTATGGCAAGATGGGTCAAGCATCCTTGGGAAAACACAAGTTTATAACAAACATTTCTAAGATAACAATGAGCAAATGGTATCTCTAGCGAATGGGCGCAATTTTCCTATTCAGTAATGTTTTAAGACTCACCTCATCACAAACATTTTCATAACAGCAGCTTAATAATTTAAAGAGACTTTGGATAAACCACAGCTGTTCTGCCTCACTAGCTGGAGAGGTACTATAATGAACTGAAACTAACTTTAAACATCTATAACAAAATCAACACAAAAACCCCACACCAGGTAGCAGTTACAATTGTTGTCTCCCTTCCTTCCTCCTTTGAGTTTACATGTTGAAGATATCTGCTGTTAATTTGAGGTTTACTGAAAAAATCAAAATAGTTACAACTGCATTCAAATAAAATGTACTTCAGATTTCTATTTTAAACAGTATTAAACAGACAAAAATGCAACTACAGCATTCAATTACATAAATATAAATAAAACTGCTACGTTTGAAACAGAAAATAGCACAAGGGAGCTGACATTAGCAGGGATTTATTTTATCCCATATAAGCTTTCATCTCAGTGCCCAGTTACATCACGTCACCTCTGTATCTGAACAGTACACCAACAACTGACACTCAAAGCTGAAACGGCAGTCTCTAAAAACCACTGAACATTAGGTGGGTACCGTGTTAAGAATGTTAGTATTAATTCCATGCTATTATGCTCTTTATGGCATGGATGATCTCAGTGATGAAAAATGTAGCATC